GCAAGCGATGATTCTGGTCTTGTCAGCTGAAAATGCAACGGTGTCGCATACCTTGGTGAGACAGACACTGGGGTTTGAAAGGTTCAGAGGAGGCTGGGTGCAGTAGCCCATGCCTGTAATCCTAGCACTCTGGGAGGCCGAGGTGGGTGGAGGATCACCTGAGGTCAAGAGTTCAAGCCCAGCCTGGCCAACATGGTGAAACCTCATCTCTACTAAAAATACAAAAATTAGCCAGGCATGGTGGTGCACACCTGTAATCCCAGTTACTTGGGAGGGTGAGGCAGGACAATTGCTCCAACGCAGGAGGCAAAGTTGCAGTGAGCCAGATCACACCACTGCACTCCAGCCTGGGTGACAGAGTGAGACTTTGTCTCAAAACAAAAACAAAAACAAAAACAAAACAAACAAACAAACAAAGAAAATTAGCCAGGCATGATGGTGCGTGCCTGTCATCCCAGCTACCTGGGAGGCTGAGGTGTGAGGATCCCTTGAGCCTGGGAGGTCAAGACTGCAGTGAGCCATGGTTGCACCACCACACTCCTGCCCGGCCAACAGAGTGAGACCCTATCTCACAAAATAAATAAAAATAAAGTCAAATGAAGAAAGAGAGATTCCATGGTGGGGAGAAGGGAAATGAAGGCCCGGGGAAGGAAACAACCCCATGTACCTCACATCACTAAGTTCACGAGAAGAGCCAGGAAGAGACTCCAGGCTCCCTCAGCCAAGCTTCAGAAAGGCTGTCCTGAAACGTGCAGGGTGCAGCAGAGCGAGGCCCTGGACTTGGAGAACACCCACTCCCATTCCCACTGGTGTGTTCTCCTAAAAATGTTTCTGCCCTTTGGTTTCCTCATCTGTAGAACAATCATGGTTATAACACACATTAAGCCTGATTCATTAAGCATTTTGCCTTTCATATCATGTAATCACTGCAATACCTATAAAATAGGTATTACTACTAATCTCATTTTATAATGAGAAAACAGAGGTTCAGAAAGGCTGAGTGAATTAGTTGCAGTCACTTGACCCTGAAATGGTGAAACCAGGTGTCCAGCGGGAGCCTGGACACTATTCTTAAGCCTCTTACTTTTTGTATTCTTGTGAGGCTCACATGACAACCCACCCCTACCCTCCAATCCCCACTCATCCTCCACTAATCTGGCCTGAAACCCTTTGCACACTCTGCCAAGCACCAGCCCAACCACAGGCAACTCAACAACTCCCTCTTGCACAGGCCACGCGCTCTCAGGCTTCTACTGACAGTGTCTCTGCGCCCAACAATCTCCTCCTTGGGTCTCAGCCTGACAGTGCCTACCGCAAGTCTTCTCTGATCACCCAAGTAAACTTAGTTGCTGCTTCCTTAGTGCTCTTACAGCACCTGATAACTCTCATTATTGGCATTTATTACACTGTATCCTAATTAGGGGTTTGCAGTTTGTTTTTTTCCAAGCATACTGTGAGTTTCTCAGGGGCAGGCATTGAATCTTTATCAACTTTGTATTCCTAGCAAGGAAAAAATGGAAGGAAGGGGAAAAGGAAGGCAGGAAGGGAGGGAGAGAGGGAGGAAAGGTGGGCAAATGCAAGAGACTGCTACATAGAACATATTAGATGGTATCATTTGAAATTGCCAATATTCTATGCCTTCTTGTCTACAAAATGGTAACTTTATATTTCACCTGGTATAATGAGGGTCGGTTTCCCCACTAGCCAGACCCACCCGAGTACATCCACTCACCCTCTAGTAGTCCCTGCTCTCTGTCTTTTGTTTTGGGACAGTTTATATGCGTCTTGACCACACAAAATGGTTAGGATCGGGGCTCACCAAGGAGGGTGGTTCTTGGGCAGCGTATAGACCAAAATTGATGGGGGCTTTCTGTACCTCTTCTCATTGAGACCACCTTGAGAGGTCCCTCTCTGAGTCCTCTCTGAGCGGGGAGGAGAAGGCTGACTCAGTGATGATGGGGAGTGGTCTGCAGGTGGGGGCCCAGCCACTCTAGCACCAGCCACTGTCAGAGCTTGACTGTCTCTCCGGGAAGACCTCCCTCGCCTCTCACAGCACCCCAAATCTGATCCTCTTGTCTTAGGGTTTGACTTCCTTCAAGGCCTAGCCCCCTATCTCCTCCTTCCCCTTTTCCAGCCCAAGGGACCCTCATCACTGGAGGGTGGGAGAAAAGGGCCTCTTCCTCTACATTCTTTTCAATTTTGGTTATGACTTAACGTCTTTGCTCCACCCAGTCCTGGCCTGCTATTTGGATCCTCCGAGTTTAGAAGTTAAAGAGAAAAAAGGGTCTTTTCCTGCTTCTCCGCATCTTCACTAGATCGTAATTCCCAAATTCTCCTTAAGGCCAAGGGTCTCCTCTGTCTACTGATACAAGTGTCAGGAAATACAAGGGTTGCAGGGAGGACACAGACTAACTTTTCCAGAGTTGTTTCACCTCAGGCCAACGTGACTATCTCCGTCAAAAAGGCCTTTGAAGTGGTCCTAAAACCATCCTATGAGATTCAGCACACACACTGCCTGGAGTGCTGGCATTCACTACCATCCCTTAAAACCCTCAGTCTGGCTGCATTTCTGGAGAGCTGGCACTTTAGAGGTTGACCTCTCTCCACATGCTGCCTCCAAGCCCTCTCCTCTTCCCCTCGATTTTTAAAGTGTTAAATGAACATTTGCTGGCAATTTGCTCTGCAGGGTCTGGCCAAGGCAATTATCTATTAAAATCCAAGAAAATGATGCATCCTGGGGACTGAACGTCAACAGCAACCAGGCCAGGGTAGGCTGGTGGTGGTGATTTGTTAACTTCATCGGGGGCAGGGGCGTACACGGGTGGCATCTGTCAAAGGAAGGGAATGGCTCCTCTGGGGCCTGGCTAGGACTGCTCAGAGCCTCCTCCTCATCACCAGGTCTGGGAAGGGGTCCCATCTCCTGTCTCTCCTCTTCCCTTGTCCTCAGGCCTGTGGCTTCATCTCTGTTTTCCTCTTCTCTGACGTCCCCAGCCTGGCCTCTTGCCGGCCCCTCTCCAGTGTCTCCCTCTCCTGTTTTATGCCACCTTTCCGTCTCTCTGGTTCTCGACTTCCCTGCCACTAGCCCCTTCTTGGGAGGTGGCACCTTCCATGAAGCCATAGGCCATGTGGTCTCAGGAAGAGGTAGCCAGGACTTTAACTGACTGTCCTCATGGCCCAGGAGAAGTCACCAATCACTCTGCACCTCTGTTTGAACAAAGAAGTTGGGACAAGTTACTTTTCAACAGCTTTATTGAGGTATGTAATTAATGTATAATAATCTGCACATATTCAAAGTGTATAATCTGATTAGTCTGACAGATGTATTACCATACACCCACGGAAGCATCACCACCATTGAGACAATAAATTTGCCAGGTGCAGTGGCTCACACCTGTAATCCCAGCACTTTGGGAGGCTGAGGCTGACAGATTGCTTGAGCCAAAGAGTTTGAGACCAGTCTGGGCAACATGGTGAAACCGTCTCTACAAACATACAAAAATGAGTCAGGTGTGGTGGTGCGGTGTGCGCCTGTGAGGAGGCTGAGATGGGGGGCATCCCTTGAGCTTGGGAAGCTTGAGGCTGCAGTGAGCCACAATTGCACCACTGTACTCCAGCCTGGGTGACAGAGCAAGGCCTTGTCTCAAAAAATCTAAAATTAAATAAATAAATAAATAAATATACCCACCACCTCAAAACGTTGCTCATGCCCTCATGTCCTCCTACCCCTCCCAGGTCCCTCCCCTTGCCAGGCAACCACTGATCTGCTTTCTGACACTATAGTTTACATTTTCTAGAATTTGTACATCAGTGGAATTGTACAGTATGTGCTCTTTTTCGTCTAGCTTCTTTCACTGAGCATAATGAATTTGGGGATTCATCCACATTCTATCATGTATCAATAGTTCATTCCTTTTTATTGCTAAATAATATCCCACCATATGATATACCACAGATTCTTAATCCACTCCCCTGTTGATGGACATTTGTGGTGTTTCCAGTTTGGGCCTATGACAAAGCTGCTGGGGTCCTTCATGGGCAAGTATTTATGTAGACAAGTGAAGCTCATAACTCCTTAGGGGGCTGTGCTCACTTTCTTGGCAGCTCAGCAGCTGCCAAGACCAGATTCATCCTTTTCCCTCCCTGTAATTCAGCCGAGGATGAAACGGGCAGGCAGCATGCTTGAGTCTGAACCCTGCCCACCACTTGCAATGTGACCTTGTGCACCTCTTGGTATCCTGGCTTTCTTTATGTTCCTACCTCCATGGGTTGTGTGAGCATTCCATGACCGTATGAATCTGAAGCATTTGGTGCAATGCCCAGCACAATGTTCAGAAATAGTAGCTGTTCTCATTTTGCAGGCACCTCTGAGAAGATCTATACAATCTGGAATGGGCTTCCTCTAGAATCTCTGAGCAGTTACCCTAACCCTTTGAAGTGGCTCCATTTCAGAGAGGAGTAACTGAGTCCCAAAGCAAAGAGTGACTTGAGTAGGGTTGATCTTTAATTTGGGAGTGAATGCAGGCATGTCCTGATACCCAGCTATTTCCTATTTGGGTGATGGGCAGGGAGGAAGTCGGAATTTTCCAATTACTTCTCAGAGTGTCTCCTGGAGAGCCCTGAGAAGTAGCTCAGCACTTCTAACCAGAAGACTATGAGTAGTAGCTAACCAGAAAACTATGAGCCCCTAAGTGTTCCTACAAAACCACACTCATTTAGTCAGTTCCCCCGGGCTCAGCAACCTGGAAACCCCATAAAATCACAGTCAAATCAGGAGGGAAAGAGATAAGGGTAGGGAGGCTGCCTACCCTCCTCCCCTGCCCCACAGGGCTCTAAGTAGCCCAGAAAGGGGCTTCTGTGTGTCTTAGGCAAGCAGGTCGATCTCTGGAAGGTACTCACGCCATCTGGCATCTTTACAGACCAGGCCTCCGAACTCTGGCTCTGCCCCTTCCTAACTGTGTCAGGGTAGGCCAGGCTTGCCATGGCAACACACAACTTGTAAGTTCAGTGGTTTAACACAATGAAAGTTTATTTCTCATTTACACTCTATGAACAACATAGGTGTGAGGGTGCCAGAGTCTTAATGCTTCCGCTAGAGCTAACGCACATCAGTTCCGCCACGTTTTATTGGTTAAAGTTGTTCACATGTCCACAGCTAGCATCAAAGAAGAGTGAGAACATGCAGTCCTACCTTGTGCCAGAAGGCAGAGAGCCGGAAATATTTGGAGACAGCACTAATGACTACTACACTAGCCAAGTGACCTTTGAGCTCATTTCCTCTTCTGCAAAATGGGGACGAGAAGAGTATTTGCCTCATAGATTGTTGTGAGGATTAAAAGAGAAATGTTATGTAACACCCTTGGCACAGTGTGGCACACGGGTGAGGTTGAGGCCCGGGTATTTGTGTACAATGAGGACCCAGCATGCCCAGCCTCCCTCCTCCCCTGCAAACACTGACCCCGGACCCCGAGGCCCGTCACTGAGTGGTTAGCAGAGGATGGATAATTTTCCGCAAATCTGTCTTCTCCCACCCTCTGGATCTGACACTGACCACTTGCGCCAGGCAAACTTCATTGCCATAAACTATCCCCCGCCCACCCCCAACTTCATTCACACTCATGTGAGACTTCTTATCCCTCACGTGACTGCTTTATGACAAATCTGCCCTTCTGTCCAGTTAGAGGATAGGAGTCCATTGAAGAAGGGATAGAGAATCCAAGAGAAATGTGAAGGAAATTAACATCCATTTTTTGCTGAGCACTGTGCTGGATGCTTGACCCACGTTACCTCATTTAAACCTCATAATAGTCCTGTAATGAAGTGAGTGTGATTATCCTCATTTTGAGATGTGGGAGCTGATGCTTGGAGTAGTTACACACCGGCCCAGGGTTACATAGCTAGTCAGTTGCAGAGCTGGGATTTGAACCCAAAACTCTGGGACGCAGAAGACCACACTTCAGCTTCTGGGCTGTCTTTTGCTATTTCATTCAGACCTTTTTTGTTTGTTTGAGACAGAGTCTTGCTTTGTTCCCCAGGTTGGAGTACAGCGGTGCGATCTCAGCTCACTGAAATCTCCACCTCCTGGGTTCAACCGATTCTTGTGCCTCAGCCTCCTGAGTAGCTGGGATTACAGGCATGTGCCATCACATCTGGCTAAGTTTTGTATTTTTTAGTAGAGGTGAGGTTTTGCCATGTTGGCCAGGTTGGTCTCGGACTCCTGGCCTCAAGCAATCCAGCCGCCTCAGCCTCCCAAAGTGCTGGGATTACAGGCGTGAGCCTCCACACCTGGCCCAGACCTAACTTTTATCCAGGCTATAAACTCACCAACAGCCCAACCATAGATGTTTAGCCTTTGGGTTCTATTGTGCTGTTGTGGAACTGCCCTGCTTCTGGAGTACCGGGACTAGGCTTTTAGTCACTGCTCAGTCCCTATCTTACTGTGCAACTTTGGACAAGTCCTTTGACCTCTCTGGGCCTCAGTTTCTTCACAGAAAATGAAAGGGCTAGACTAAATTTCTCAGGTTCTTTCCATATCTAGGATTTGGTAACATTGAGAATTGCCCATAGCTCTTCCTGCCTTTGGCCCTCATACTGTATTAGAAAGCATCACAAAGTAGAAAGGTAGATAAAGATCCCACATTTGAAGTTATACAGAGCATTAATTAGACTCTCATTATTATTTGAAACTAAAAATAGTTTAAGATTGATGGTGTGTTTGTAATCCATAGCAGTTTTCTCCCTTCCTTGCTATTTATAACAACTCTGGTTTCCTCTGTAACTAAGTCTGTCTCCTCCTATAAAAGAGGAAGTCAGGCTAAGTCTGCTCCTGAGCTAAGATCTCCTGAGTCTGCACCCCAGGAGAGGCTCTCTAGAGCTCTGAGCTCCTGTTGCTGGGCAGAACTGGGCTCAGTCTCCAGGTGGGCATTGGAAGATGTGGCTGGACTATATGCCAGCAGGATGGGCTATGCCTGTTTTCCCATGGAACCATGCATAGCTGCTGGGGTGTGGCTGGGTATTAGGACTGGAGATCCAGAATGCTGTATCTTCCACTCCTATAACTTTTGCTTAATGCTTAGAGAGTTTTTGTAAATGCCAATGCCCAATGCTAACCCTGAAGAAGATAAAAGGAAACAGAACTCAAGTTCAGGCCACTTTTGGGAGACATTTCCAGGGCCTACAACTATCTCTTAGGTTTTTAATTTGTTCCTATAGGGTTGTTGTTGAGAGCTGAGTGTCCTGGGAAATCTGGGCATCCCAGATGGCTGCCCCAAGTTGCTGCCGGAGTATTTTAACTACAGTAGTGTGGGAGCTTCCTGCCTCAGAGAGTGCTCCCCACACCTCCCCCAGGTTCCCATCTGCCCAGACGCCCACAGCTCCTGTCAAGAGAAATGATGGAAGAAGCCCCAAGATACCTGGGGGAAGGGCCTCAGCTCAGGACAAGAGCTGGGGCTCCAACCTCAGTCCAATCAGGGAACTCTCAGGGCCACTCATGGTTGTGTGCATGTGTGTGTGTTTGCCTGTTTCTGTGAGACAGTGAGGAAAGATTTGGGGGTGGGGGAGATATGCACATGGGCAGCTAATCCTGAGAAACTTTGGGGTCTGGGAAGGGGGGAAAGAAAGAAGAAAAGCTGGAAGGGGATAGAGGTGGTGGGAGAGAGGCGGATGGGAAAAACCAAAGAGAGGAAGCAGTGGCTGTGCTGAAGCTGGACAGAGCCCGAAAAGGACAAGTCTTGTCCTAAACTTCCTCTGACCCACCTAACCTAAATCTCCCCACGCTGTGGTTTAAGCCTCTTTCCCACCTTGGTTCTCTGTCTAGCCTCTGAGCAGCAGAGTCCAGGAGTGACGTCGGGATGCTGGCTGCCCTGCTGCTTCCTGGCCCAGGAGGGAGCTACTTCTGAGTAGCCAAAGTCCTGAGGCTCTGACATTTAGGAGGCCTGAGTTTCCCACCCATGTGCATCCCTGCTTCCCCTGACTTGACACCCAGTGACCTGGAGGGATGCAGAGGGGGTGGGCAGCAGCTCTGGAGGCATTTCCCAGCAGTAGAACTGTGAGTCAGAAGGATCATCTACTATCGGAAGTCAGAGGGGACCTCCTGCAGGCAGGAAATCAGAGTTGGGCCCCAGAGAAGTCCAGAGATGAGTTGGCGGGAAATTAGCTCTTCAGAAAGCAACATTACCGTCCGGGAAGGCTGAACCTGGAGCCCGCTATGCCTACAGGAAAAGCCTGGGCCAGCCTAGCTCCCTTCTGCCTGGGCATCACCATCCCTTCCGCCTTGGCATCACCATCGCTTCCACCTTGGTGGTCATCTGGGAAGTCTGGAACAAGATATACAAGTTCAAATCCGGAGTCTGTTGCTTATATGCTGGAATTCATACATGTGAGGCTCAGTTTCCCCATCTGCAAAATTTAAAAAGAATAAGAAAGCCTATCTCACAAGGTTACAGGGATAAAATGAGAATATGTGCATAAAATACCTTGTGTAGGTGGTCCATATGTGTTAGTCTCCTCCCCACGTCTTATTTTGGTTGGAAGATGGGGAGGAATGTTGCAGGATCTGACTGCAACATTCTGCTAGCCTCCTGGTCCAGGAGAGGCGATCCCCTGGCCCCAGGGAGAGCTTCCTCTAGATTCAAATGCTAATAAAAGGTCCAGGATCCCACCAAGACCTCCTCTCCAGCCTCCATCCTGGGGGCACTGCTCGCAGTGCTCCTCCTCTTTGCCATGGGGATGAAAAGGGTGTGTTGATTGGCCCTTGAAATTTGCTCTTAAAATTATCTTTGGTTTTGATTTGACCTTAATAGGTCAAGCCAAACAGGGATCTGAGCTACTGCATGAAGCAGTTATTGCGGGGGGTGGTGGGTTGCGAGTGGAGGAGGGAAGGGGAGGAAGATGGCACCAACAGATGCATCCTCAGACCCCAGTCCACACCCTTGCCAAAATCTCTGACATGGTTTCATCATCTGAGGGTGATGTAAGAGGCCTGGAGTCAGACTCCCCTTGCTCCCCTCCCCCAGAGAGCCCCATCCACATCTGGAGCTGCAGCTGGGTCCTTCTCTTGGGCCCTTTCCAGGGGAGGGAGCTGGGTGAAGTGAGGGCAGCTGGTGAGGGGCCCTGTGAATGGCCCCAATGTTGGGAGGCAGGGGGCAGGGAAGAGGCCTCTGGGCTCAGAGGGAGGGAGGTGGACTGGGAAGGGAATTGTGACTTTGCAGCATTGGTCTCCTCCTCCATCCAGGCCCAGTGTTAAAGTCTCCATGGTCCTCCTTGTCCTTTATATCCATTCCTGCAGGCAGCTGCCCTCCTTCTTCCCTTCCCCACCCACTTCACCGCCCAGCCTCTCTACCCAGGTGCTCGGAACTGAGGGCCCCCTTTGTTCCTTCCTTTCCCCCAGGGCAGCTCAGGCCTCCCACACTGACCCTCTGGCCCTACTGCCACAACAAGCAGAGTGTGAGCCAGGCCCAGTGGGGTCATCTGTGGGTCATAAAGGTCAATGGGACAGTCGTCTAGCAGTAGGGAGGGGCTAGTCTTGGGCTAGGAGCCTGGCCAGGAATCAGCTAAAACACGAGCTTTAAAATGCTGCAGGGCGGGGGTGGGGGGAAATTTATTTAGGGGCTAGCAAGAACTCCCTTCAAGAAGGGTTGGCGAATTTACTGGAATAAATGCAGAAGGGAAGCTTTCCTGGCTCTTGTGAACTATAAACCGTCAATCGCTGTGAGATCCCCGGGAGACCAGGGTTCTTACCATGCTTACCCACGAACTCGCTCTGTGACCTTCGGTAGTTCCCCTCTTTAAATCTCAGTTTCTTCATTTATGAAATGAGGGTCCCATTGAAGCTTGAGGTTCTGCCACTCCAGGAGCCAAGGTTCTAACGTGGTCTGCGTCCCGCGCCTCCACCCCCCCATCCCACCCCCACCCTCCAATCCCGCCCCCTACCCCCAGCCACCCGTGGCCGCGAGCCAAGAGGTCCCTTTAAAGGCGCGAGTCCCGCCCCCGCTGCTCATTAGGGCTTTCGATTGGCGGCTCCCGGGCTGGGCGGGGCCCGGCGCGGGCTCGGGGCGGGCTCGGGGCGGGCTCGGTGCCGGATCGGCCCCCGCCCCCTTTGTTCGCGCTGCGGCGGGAGGTGACGGCCGGGTGGGAGGTGTGTGCGCGTGTGCCGCGCCGTAGGGAGCGGCGGGTCGCGCCGCCGGCTGTCAGCTAGCTCCGCGCCGCCGCCCGATGGCCCGAGGAGGCGCGCGGGCCCAGCCCCGGGGGGCCGGCCGCGGGTGAGCCCCTCGGCCTGCAGCCCGCGAGCATGTCACCTCCAGCCGCCGCCGCCGCAGCCTCCGCCAGCCGCGCCCGCGCCCCCGCCTCCCGCAGCCGCAGCCGCTGCCTTGGGCATTGGCCCCCAGACCCCCGCCTCTGATCCACGCCCAGACCCTAGAGCCAGAGGGCCATGGCCGGCCAGGGGGACTGCTGCGTCAAGGTGGCCGTCAGGTAGGGACCCGGGGCATGGAAGGGGCCTCGCGGAGAGGGCTCGGGCTTTGTCTCGCGTGGGCTTTGGGCGGGGGGCGCGGGCACCGCTCGGGCTGGAGCCTGCACTCCCGGGGGAGGGGCCGGCGTGGGACGGGATGGAGGGCGCCGCGCGCTGGCCAGGCTGCCGCCGGGGAGCAGCGACCCCGCGGACTACTGCAAGGTGGCTTTGTTTGGGTGGTAATTTTGGGTCCCTCTTGGGAGCCCTTAATGATCAGAAAATCGAATAAACAAGGAAATCCGGTATTTCACACCCAGCCCTGGCCCAGGCCGGAGCGTCTGTGTGTTTCCTCTTCGCCTCCCCACGAGGCTGCTGTCTCATACGGGTATACCAGAGGGAAATTTCCCCCTCATCCACGAGAGTCAGCTAGTTATGTGCTCTTGGTCCAGCTAGCAAAGGCAGCACACCCGCCCTGGGAGCCAGATCTGCAGACAAAGATCCGGTGCGGGGACCAACGAAAAACCTGGGATGATGCCTTGGCCTTCTGTGGGAAGTCAATGGCTTTCTGGGAGAATCCTGCCACTCCTGTCCCAAGAGGAGATGGGGCTAGGAAGGGAGGAAGAGGTGTATCTGAGGTGCTTCCCTCTGAGAGGGCAGGAGGGTGTGATGTGGATGCCCCATCCTCAGACACTCAGACAAAAATTGAGCAGGGGAGGGTTGCCTAGACTTATCTGGGGTTCCATTCTCAACAGCTCTGGGACTTGAGCCGGCAGAAATGAGACAGGGAGAGGACATGGCTGGGTGGGTTCTATTGGGAGGGGTACACAAAGGTGCAGGAGCAGGAAATGCTGTGAAATTGAGCCATCTGTGTTCTTTGTGCTGGGTGGAGACGCTTTACACCTCACCACCTCTCCCAGTTTTTGCTTTGGTTTTTTCTCTTTGAGAGGGGTGTATTGGCAGCAGCGTGCCAATCTGGGGCTGCTCACCAAGGCAGGGGTGTGGAAAGAACGTCTATCTCTGCCCCAGCCCTGTATGATGGAGGGGGCGGGGGATTGTCCAGGTCTAGGGTAGGTCTCTCAGGTCTCTAGATCCCTTGGGTCATATGTGACCCAGATTCCAGGGACCCGGGGAGGTTGCTCCTAGACGGAGTCAGAGATGGCAAGGAAAAAGCTTTCCTCTTCCTGCCCCAGGGCAGATGCCCCTCGCCACGGCCACCTGGCTGGCCCTCTGCAGCCCAGAGAGGAGCTGACACTGATCAGTGCTCAGCTGGAGGGAAGGAGATTGAGGCACCCCCACCCATGCACCCTAGGCAGCACTCAAGAATCACTTGAGAACAGCTTTCCTGGCCCTGAGCAGCCAGAGAGACAAAGAGGAGCCCTGCAGGTGCCTGGTGGGCTGGCTGGGGCGGGGCCAGGCTGCTGCTGGGGCTGACATTGCAGCAGGATCTTGTGGAGGTCGAGGGAGGGTTGCATGGCCGGGGGTGGGAGTGAGAAATGTAAATATGGCATCTGCAGCAGATTGGGAGAGTCCAAGAACACCATAAAAGGGAAATGAAGCTCTGGCCCCTCTGGCCCCCACCCATTGTGAACGAGGACTGGGAAGGAAGGGGCTTGGGGGTGCCCTTTCCACAGTGGGGGTTTCCTTTAGATTCCATCTTGCTGGAGAGAGCTAAACAAAGGCCCCCACCTCTGTTCAGGGTCTCCAGGCTGGACTGGGGTGAAAAGATGTGGGTCTCCCACCCGGGGAGCCTCATGGGATTGGCACAGTGAGGATAAGCTGATGTTCTCTTCCCACTGCCACCTCTAGAGGCTTCCCGGGACCCTTTCTGCAGAGAAGGGATCATGTCTGCCCTCTGCACCCAGTTCACGGCGATGTGTGTCATCTCTGGTTCCCAGTCAGATTGCCCTAAGTGGGGGCAAAGTTGCTGATCTGTATGGGGGGTGGGGCATTTGAGCATCAGAAGCAGTCTTGCAGGGTCTCCGGGAAGGTGAGGGCCCCACCCACCCCTCCCCTCCCACCCCAGCATGAGTGCCCAGCCCGGGCACACGCCAGACCTCAATGGGCAGCCGGCCGTGGAAGGCAGACGATGTCTGGACAGAACCCAGTTTCTAATCAGAGAGCTTAGGACTGAGCTGGGGCTGGGCTGGGCTGGGAAGGAGAGCAGATGGTGCCAGTGACGGGCTGTAGGGGGAGTTCTCCTTGTTTTTAGATCCTCTTCTACCCCTCCTCCCCTGCAGCACCCCCAGAAATCACTTCTCTCACCTGAAAGACTGGGTGGTGGGCTGCACTAGAGTAGAGCATTTATGGGAAGGGCAAGGCTTGTCCAGGGTCTAGTCCAACCCCAGGGCTCACTACCTCCTGCCAGGTCTGGCTGTCTTTCTGACTTTATGGAAGTCCTTTCTTGTATCCAACTGAAGTGCTTTCTGAATTTCCATGAGAATAACTTGTAGCGAGCCTGGAGTCCAACTCTTCAGACAAGGAAGACCAGGAATGAGACAGGCGTGGTCTGATGTGTGTGGGGGGGGGCGGGGGGGGGGGAGAGAGGCCCCAGGACTATTAGACGAGGTGAGAAGTGCCAGGCCCAAGACTCTTGGCCTTGCAATCTGTTTGGGATGAGGAGATCGAAGCTGGCTGGCTGTGGAATGCTTCAGTGAAGGCCTGGGCTCCTGGAGAGCCGGAGGAGGAAACTTTCAGGACCTGGGTCTGGGGTAAGGGAAGAAGGTCCAGGGGTGAGCAGACCCCAAAAGCCCCACCTCGTGGCCTCCCCAGCTAGATGGAATCTGGCCCATCTGTCCCTGAACCCAGGCTACTCGGCTTTGCACCAAGGGATTCCCAGGCCGGCCTCTTCAGCCTGCCCTGTGATCCCTTTATCCATTAATCCCCTTGTACTGTAAAGATTCTCAGCTTCCTGGGCTGGACTAGAACTTGCCGTTACCTGGGGGAGGAGGTGTGTAACAAGGCTAGAGAGAGGTGGGGCGGAGCTGTGACCTGCCCCAGGCTACAGAGATACAGGCCTGACAAATGTGGGGAGAAAGGGGTAGCTGTTAAGAAATGCAAGTTGGCAAAATTAAAATTGGGGAAGGAAGCCAAGTCACATGGAAGTTTGTTTAAGACCCTTTCAAGTCCCCAGCTCTGAGCCCCCACCATGAGAGGAGACCTCGGTGTTGCCTAGCCCCCTCCCCTCTTATCTCTGCCTGGCTTCCCTAAGCTTCCTTCCTTTAGTCTGCTTGGCAGTGCTTGGCCGGCCCAGCATCCATCTGTTGAGACTACAGGGTTAAGTAGGGGATAGGGAGGGGTTTGGGGGGGGTGGCCCAAGGGACCCAAGGGACAATGTTAGATTGTACCCCTGCCCTCTCCCATTTGGGTTCTCTAGCTGCAGTTATTTCCCTAGTTCTAGGTTACTCTGAAATCTTGGTCAATGACTGTCTGAATTTTGAACCAAGAGCAGTGGTGGCTTGGGAGAGAAAGACTAAAGAAGATCGAAAAAACTGTAGGGGAATGGGCATTTGGGGTGCCTTCCGAGTCCCAAAGCCAGTCAGTGCCAATCAATGCCACCTGTGTCCAGTTCACAGCTCTCGGAAACTGAGGCCCATACAGGGCCTCATGTGGGCTGTGTGGAGACCTGAGAATCTTGGTGCTGGCCTCCTGCTGCAGAAATAGGGTTTATGTCATCATAAGGAAGTGGAGTGTAGTAACCACAGGCCCCGGAAACCTCCCCCTCCACCACCCAGCCTGACTGCCTGATTGGATCTCAGCTTTTGAAAACCTCCAAGTGGAGGTGGGGCGGGGCCCAGGCCGGGGCCAGGGAGGTGGCAGAGGTGATATGTGCCTGGCATGCTTATTTTGCAACCCTGGGGGCAAAGGGCAGAGCAGGAGCTGATGCAGTTCATCTACTGGCTGCGTCATGGGCGCCTTCCCTGTTTGTCTTTGTGGGCCTCAGTTTTACCCACTGGAAAATGGGAACAGCCACTGTGTTCTGGTTTGTTCATTTGTGAAGAGCAGTGGCTTGGAGAAAGACAGACATAAAATCTTTGGAGGGAATAAAACGCAGAGTAGATTCCTGAGGAATTGAATATAAATAAAATGTTTTTTAAAAAATAGGCCCTAGGCCAGGCGCAGTGGCTCATGACTGTAATTCCAGCACTTTAGGATGCCGAGGCAGGTGGATCACAAGGTCAGGAGTTTAAGACCAGCCTGACCAATATGGGGAAACACCGTCTCTGCTAAAAATATAAAAATTAGATGGGCATGGTGGC